ACATTCGAGGCTACATACCACTATAGGCACATCAAAACCTCAGCCCTGGATTGTGTTTGAAGTGCCACTAAAATTCAGTCAAAACCTTGTTCATTAGTACTGGTATTCGAAATTCCAGAAATATTTTGGATTGAATTCAAAATAAAGTTCTATTGACATTTTCACTATATATTTTATGAAAATAAATTATTAGTTCAATTTTGCAAAACGTTAGTTTTCTCTTTTTTCGTTTATTTACGATAATATCCATGAATCGTAATAATCGAAAAGTGTGTCTTGGTGACCATGTGTTAATGTAGTGACTTGAATATTATCTTTATGTTAGAATATTTTCTCCCTTTTTCCATAACCTACCCAGTTATTCTGATAATGTTACATCTCACCAGACAAAGGAACACATATTATGTCCAACATAAGTGCATGATCACTCGCATTATCACTCACATAATCAATCGTTATCGGTTTTAAACTTATTCTATGAGCGACAAGATGAAGAGATATTGGTTTAAAAAATCGTATCCATGAATTACTGGCAATGTTTACTGTGTGACTCATTTCTCAGTTTTCTTTACAATGGACATATATGATCTGTCATAAACTTATATGGCTTAATTATCCAATGCGATATTATTTATATAAATGTCCAATACGTTATTATTTAATTAAAAATCTAATACGATATTATACAATCAAAATCTATACAGACACACCCTCACTCTACAGCTGCCATTGACATTCACATGTCTTGCCAAAACAGAGAAGAAAACTGTAAACTAGCAAGGATGGTCAAAGTGTCTGTAAAAGGAAACAATAACGTTAATGTCATTTCAATTATGACTTGAGTATTTGAATAAATAGGTGACAAATATAAACGACTTGAAATATAATATACTAATTGGATATTTTAGAGTCATACAAACACAAGACACACACACACACACACACACAGATGTGATATATTCTAGTCTAGCATTTTCAATCAATTCTTGTACATCCGTAGATAACATTATGGATAAAGAAATCGAAAGACTAATAGTTTTAAAGGTATCACGTTTCGTGGTCTATCAATCTACCTCCATTCGGTTTATACTTCAAAGTGTTAGACAATAAATAAATTTAATATATTTCTTACTTTTAGTGACAGATTTCCTACCAGTTTAACAAATTTTATAGATAATATTTTGTAACAATTTTGTATCAGCAATAAAAAAAACAGATATAGAAACACTGTAAAATCATGCTGGATATTTACATTTGTTTCGTGTGACCCTTCTCTAAGTGGGAGTGATTAACCACACTTTGTTTGAAAGATAATCAATATTTTCAAACGTTTACAGTTTCTAATCTGTATTTACCTGTATTTGAAGTTTTGTGTTGACCAAAGTATTTTCACCTCGTCCTGAATGCCGCTGGTGCTATCCGTGTGACTCCTTGAGTCTAAATACTGACGAAGGTTATCTTTGCAAGGTTTAACAATTCCAGGCGTTTAGTATACATGATTTTAGTTTCTTGTACGGACTCATCAGCAATAAGCAATTGACCTGCTGCGAAAATTTAATTTAAATTCAAACATTTTGTATATGTTCATTGGAATATGTGATGAAGCATGCTGATGATAATTGTATTGCAATTTGTATGCAAGCCGCATTTATCTTTCGTTTCACCATTTTTTCACCATTTTTTTTTTTAGTTTTTTTTTAATTATTGTATCGGATTCATCATAATGCGATTACTGTAAATAGAACAGTGTCATCCGCAGGTCAGAACTGTGTCAGACACGATTTTTCAAAATATATAACGTAACATTCAGAAAAAATAAAAATCTCCTCAGGAAATACGACAGTTAGGAGTGGGTAAAATCCAGTACACCGTGCCAAAGGACAGTCTAACTAATCATATTAGCGTGCAAAACGTTGGCATAGACCGTCTAGGTCAGGAATGTCCAACATTTAATTGGCTTGGGTTAAAACAGACAAAATATTATAGGTTGCGGACCGCGAGAGCAAGATCAGTTCCTTATCGCTAACTATGTATATTAATTTTCAAAAGGGACACCTATATGGCCGGGTGCCGTACATTTTGAAGAGCTGGGCCGCAAAAGTTCGCGGTCCGTGTGTTGAACACAAATGGTCTGGGTAAAAGCAGTAACACAGAGACGTAATCGGGTGCTAAATATATTGAGAGTAATAAAACATCAGTGAACAGATCCAATAATCAATTTGATAGATGAAGAAAAAAAAATGATATGCAACTCCAGTGGCGTCACTAGGGATGTGGGGGGTGGGGTGCGCATCGTACCGCATGACACCATCCCCAAAATGACTGTCTATACCATTTTTGAACTTTTGTTCAGGAAGGAGGCCCATGGGGATGACACCATAAGTTACCGCATTGGGTGACACCATCCCTTGTGACGCCACTGTTCAACTCGATTCAAACTGTAAGTACAGTTTATATTGTTTTAGGCAAACAAGATGGCAGACAGTAGATGAACGTCTTTGTTCAATTGCATCTGTTTTCGAACGTGAACAGGACAGTGTTTTGTGGATTGCATTAGGGTGATTCTCTGGACATGAACGTTTTATTTTAATTTGGTTGTGAAAGATATGTGAGCGTCCCTAGACACGAGCATACTGCATGTCGCCAAAGAAATTTATTCATAAGGAAAATACACTCTGACTAAACAAAACATTTTTTCTTTTAGAAATGGACAAATTTCAATAATAAATTAATTTCCTAAAATACTCTTCTTGCCTGGGTCATGATATCTCTTCAGAACAAACAGTCAGCCAAAATGCACCCCTAATTGAGTAATTATCTTTCGAACCGAAGATGTTTGGTCATCTTGCCAACTCATACTAATGACGACAACCGCTGCACGTTTTAGTACGTATTTTTCAACACTTTTATCATCAAAGAATGGTTTAATGTTTTAAATAATGGAGTCACCGAAAGTGTTTGTGTACTTTGATCGTGGTAGAAGGTTATAAGATAACAGTCACACGATAAAAGATATTTTAGATATGTGATCAATCCTGGAAAGCACGATCAAGATGAGAAATAAGAAATCAACAATTGCAAAAGCGTATCTTGCACGTCACAGAAGAAATAGTCAGAATTTTGAAATAGTATTTCGTGTTGATTTGAAATTTATACATAAATTCATTCATTTGCAATGGGTTTTCTTTGACTAAAATAACTGGATTTGACCTTCCGACACGTTTAATGGCCGGCAAGCTTATGAACAGGAGAGCAGCGAAAGCTAAAGATTGATAATATAAACGTATGCATAATTCTTACGTAAAGATGTTAAATACAACGGTTTTATGGATTTATTGAGTAAACTTGTAATCTTACGTGGTTAGTCATATTCAGTCTGTATTGCCGTATCACACATCCATATTTGTACTGCTTAGCAGTGTCCTGTGACTGGTCTATATTTTTAAACAAAGTAAGTCTAACTTTTATACACCCCAATTAGCTTAATTTCCCTCACACTATAAAACTAACACTATTTACAAAATGTAAATTAGTGAGTATGTAATAAATACAAAACCTCATTTATGTTTTGTTCCATGCCTAGACATCTCTCCCATCAATCAAAGTCGTTCTTTCCGCCTACCCAGAACAAAACATGTATATGGTGGTATTGTGCATGCATAGAACATTTTTCTTAACTGTTGCAAGACATGTAAACGAGATGATGCAGTGCGGTATTATTATTATTATTATTATTATTATTATTATTATTATTATTATTATTATTATTATTATTATTATTATTATTATTATTATTATTATATACAGAAACATTTTATCGTGTTTCTCATTTGCGACATAGCAGAAATTTGCAAGCATGTTTGAAAGTTGTTGTTATTTGGGGTTTTAAAACTATTTTTGAGCGCAAGATAGGTCCAGCTATTTTCCAAAATGTCATCTTTGCATCGAAAATATACTTTGCAAGTAAGCTCATAAACCATTTCCCGAAATAGTTGCAGTCCGGAAAACATCGCATAAAATGTGGCCTGGAAATGGTTGTGACAATGGCAACTGATAATGACAATGATAATGGCAACTGATTGCTGACCGCTATATGGCTGTAACCATACGCCGGCAATATCTAACACCGCCTTTTCAAACCACCCAATAATTATTAGTTTTACAAATAACTTTCTCTGGGCACAGTGTAATCATTAGTTTTTCATTTCTAAATGCATTGATAATAATGGTTCCTTGAGCAATAATATCGCCCACCACTATTAGGAATTCAGATGTTTGTGCTTTCCCTACTTTTTGTTTTGTTTGGTCTATTTTAACGACATCATTAATACATAATTGGCTATTTCACACCGAGGAAATGAGGGCTAAATACCTTTACCAAAGGAGTCATCTTGACAGCCAACCAGGGCTAGCCTTGGCAGGTATCGAACTTGTGACTCTAGTATTAAGAGTCCGTCGCTTTACCAGCTGAGCTAGTTTCTCCCTTTCTACCATTAATCCAGACAGAACCGACTCTACACAGGTTAATCTAGAGAGAACGGATTATTGCATGTACAAATACACCTGTCGACTAACAAAGAAAACAAAAACGGATAGTATGTTAACTGACGTGTAAACATAAACTACTATTTTAAATTGTAAAGTATATTTAGCAAGGAAAATCTGCAGTCACGACAGGCTTCAGCATCTTAAAGTGACCCGCTTGTCATGCTTACGCTGTTACATTGAGATCATTTTCTCTTGACACTATTGTACAGACAGTCATTACATATGATGTTTTTGTAATTATTCATAAAGTAGAATTTACCTGCTGGCTGTAATGGTCTGTTGCTTTCGATACAGATTTAAATAATAAGTCAATTTTCTCTTCGTCAGCTTGGAATATATAACACATGTTAGCATAAGCACAAGTAAGCCCCCCCCCCCCTCTCTCTCTCTCTCTCTCTCTCTCTCTCTCTCTCTCTCTCTCTCTCTCTCTCTCTCTCGTTAAGGTGACCGATTCGGTGGTCTAGTGGCTAGAGCGTCTGCCTCGGATGCGGGAGGTCATGGGTTCGATCCCCGGAGCAGAAGATACCAAGCATTCTGCGGAATTCTTGTAGATTCGATTCGTGGTTGCGGATAATATGTCGTCTAGTCAGTCAAAAATTACTGACGGCCTTATTTTTGACCGGAATGTTAGTGTAGTGTTAGGTATAAGTAATTTAATTATTTATTTGCTAGTTTTAATTTTTGTTATTCCATTACATGTTATTGTAATGAGAACTTTATTTACTGGATTTGATATTTTTCGAGAAAATTTAATTCAGTTCTGTTTGTCCTGACTGTTAGTTCTAATAAACAAACAGTAATGGAAATACTGTATCTAGTAGCTGACCTTGATTTAGAACTAGTAAGGTTTCTGGTAAACAACTTTATATTTTTAAAATTCATTTTAAGAGTAAGATTCATTCAGTTGAATCAATGCTACATCCTGGAGAACGTGATAATTATCACGTAACAAATTTCTTTTCCTTCTGATATTATGAACTCTTGACCCCCATCCAGGCATCCGTTTCGCGTTTTGGTTAGTCTTACCACTCATGTTATCATAAGAATTAGCCAGTAGGGCTCTAAATCTTTGACACTAAAAGGTGTTTTGCTGTGACCAGTTTGAGTTAAAATTTTATTTATGAAATTAGTGATTCTTTTCACTGGAAAATATATAAGTGCTCATAGAGATTTCTTGGATAAAGACATCATTGAAATTTATTCGGAATTCATAACTGGAATATTATTTTCTGTGATTCAGCAAAGAAACTGTTGACACATCAGTACAACGCTGACTATGGCATACGTCATCGCCTTCCATCTTAGAATTTCATTAGGACTCGAACTCAGATTCATTCAGGACTTTAATACTCCGACTTCTATCTTTTTAATTCTTGGATTATTTTTGGATTTGATTCGTAAAACCGTGAGTTTGTTTTCTCATTTTTACCTTGGTTTTCTAGGGTAATAAATTATTTGTTCAATTTTACAATGCTTGTTGTCTTCGTTAATTTTCTTGTTACTTTTTGTTAGAGCCTAAACTCGTAACAGTAGCATCAGCACTCTAATGGCAGAACATTACTCGGATAATTACAGAGTTAAATACGTGTTTAGTGAATTCAACAAGAATCCAGTCTGAAATCACCGCCTGACTTTCTACCTCTGTGGTACAACTTAAACAGACGCCGTCCGTTAAAAATTCGAAGTTTTGTAAAACTATCTTATAATAGACATTAATATGTGTTCGCCGCCATAAAGAAACGCAAACTATGATGGTATGGTAATGTTTCACGCTCGTCTGACCTGCCAAAGGCAATAGTACAGGGCACAGTAAAAGGAAAGAGAAAACAAGACCTACAGAAGAGGAGACTGGAGGATAACATCAAAGAGTGGATAGGCATGGACTCTCCTAAAGAGCAGTGGAAATTATCTCAAAGGCATCAGTGGCATCTCTATGATTACGGGAGAAATGAAAACAAAATACTTAAGCATGGAGTGGAAGGGCGGGGTTTGAGAAAAGCGTACATCTACATATGGAAAAGAGTTAACTGTGAACAAGTACGTTCTTCACCATCAGTGGGTCAATATGCATAAGCTATATAAGCTCTTTATTACGACTGTGTGGGTTAAAGTCTCGGATTAGGCCAATGTGGGTATGTGAGAAAACTTCCTCCACCATTTATACTGGCCGCCATATATAACCGATCTTGTGCTGAAAAATTGTTAAACCCTACAACAACAACCCTACAGCAACAACTACTATTACAAAAACAACAACAACGATTTTGAGTAAAATTCATCTGCATTTTATAGTTATTTGTTAAGACTTCTGCACTTTCGTTTTTATGCAGTAAAAATCATTCTGTTTAGATTTCCTTATATGATATTAAAACCTAAAATTACTCATTTTTAACGAATTTATTAAACTTTATCTTTCAAAGTTTTACTTCCCAGCTATTGTTGAAAAGGGGTGGGGTTAGCGGGTGACGCACAAGCGTACGAACGCAGGGGTGTGTGTGTGTGCAGAAGTGTACGTTGTGCAACGAGAGGGGGATGTCAAAATTGGTTTATTTTTTGGTGTACATTGTAGAATCACATTGGGCGTTTTGCCCTTTTTCTCCTTTGGACTCTGACTGGTCAGCTCATCTTCTATGCCCCATGGCTTGGCAAGCAAGTGACATACAATGCGCAACCCAAAGATGATCAAGCCATGAAAGTTGTCAAAATGAATATGTTCTTGAGGCTGTATACGTTATTATTATGCATAAGTAGAAGGTTATTACTGGATCGATTAATACTTTTCCATGCTATTTAAACTAGCTGCGTGATTACATTATCCAAAGCTGATGAAGAATGTATCAACACGGTTTAAATTCAAAGGGATATAAGAAATTTTTATTTATTCTGCACTGGATTAAAACAGCTTTTGATAGAGCTGGAAATATCCGGTCTGCTTATAATTACTATATGTGCTAACCATTACTTAACTTTTCTGTAGACACACACTGTTCCTTATTTGTGCTCAGAGTTGTCGGTGTTGGCATCGAATACAATTAACAGATCGTGTTGAGACTGCGTTGTGCCGCTGAAAGCAGCTCCAAATAGACACATACTCGTAAATGCAATCGAATCAAAATTATTTTGCTAGCAACACCGTTACTTTCGATATTGCACTGACAATAATTTTGATTGGTGGACTAACGATGGTTGATGTGGTTGCAATTCCAACCACATCGAGTCCAACAGTTCCTCCTGCTGAAAGACCACAAATAACATTTACCACCAAACACGCTAGTTTGTATTTAACGATCAACGTGGTGCTCTTGGTTATTTCATCGAGCAGGCTTTTTCTGCTTCGATTTTTTTTTACGTTAAAAACATTGAATTTCTATCACAGTTCTATATTATTAATACAATCACGTAGTACAATTGCACAATTTGGCTTTCCTAGTCCAGATTCATCAAGTTAGGTGCAATATGCGAGCGCACTTCTAGCCAGTTACCCTTTATTACTAGTACAATTGTCATGAATAATTAAATTTCAAGCGGTTTTGCACCCTTTGCTTTGCAGGGAAGTCAATGACTGAAAAATCTCTGAAAGCATTTGCAATATTTCTTTTGTGTGATGCCATTGGATAATAGAGTTTACGATACAATCGTTTCTTCACATTGTGGACGATGTGGTGCCAAAACATGGATCACAAATCCAACTTGAGGTCAAATACATAATGGACGAGCAGCGATTGCTGAAACTTACATTCAATATCGAGCAAAGATGTGTACGTTTGTGAAAACGTCCGGTTAACACATTTAGGTTACAAAAAGTTGGCGCCGATATCGTTACTGCATTGAGAACACCACCGGGAACGCCATGGTGTGAATATCGTGGTAAAAATCACATTCCTGGGTACAATTAATGTGGCCCGGGTACATGGCTGAATATCCGACTAGAGTCTAACAACCTACCAAAACCTTGTGAAACACATTTGAATCAAGATGATTAGGATATTGACATGCTTATAAGACATCAAACGACTTCAAGGCAGTTACGGGACCGTGTGCTAGAGAATGGATCGCAAGAAAAATCATCAAAGTAGATCTGAAAACCAATATTGCACTTTGTGACACTCATTAAAAGAAAAATATATTAATACAAACAAACAATGGATCCAAAAGGCGGAATATTATCAAAATTAATCTGCCGTCCTGGTGGGTTTTGAAAAGGTGAAGCCGCCGTGGAAAAGTTAACAAATGCGGAAAAAGATTGCGTGAACATAGATGGCCCAACAAATGTTATGGCAAACCTACCTGCCAGTTCCAAGAAAAACTTCACTGGTTGGTTTAATGTCTAAGTACCTGTTATGGTGCACACTTGTTATGTGACGCTTTTGTTTGTTTATTGTTACTTAAGAGATGATTGACAATTGTTTTATTGCACAGATCGAGTAAATAATAATAAAATATATGAATAGAACCACACGAGACCCCGTATGCAAAATATAGTAATTTAATCAATTACATGAACAAAATGCAATCGAATATGAAATTTGAATAATACAGTTTATCTTAGTTACCAAATTTATAAGAAATGCAATTAGGCGTTTTGTTCTACCGATTGAACGAATTTCATCATTAAATCAAGCGCATGATCAAACTCATTTGCCCAGGATGCTTGCATTACCTGGTAGCTTCTGGTCCTTCCAGATTCAATGTCAGTGACATGTCAAAGTCGACGTATTCATTTACCTTTTCTATCTATTTCTCCAGCCTCTTACGGGTCATCAACCGTAATCTAGTTGTTTGCTCTCTTTTACGGCTGTGGAGTGCACATGTGGGGTTATTTTCACATGCATTTATAAAAACCCAACGTAAATATTTGCAAAGCTTTTTTTATTTCTGAGATTGAACTATAATTTCCAGTCTTTTTACGTCAGATATCGTCTCGTCTAACTCAACAGAAACTAATGATAAAATGTGGCAGCTCGCAACCTGACGCTGCTACAAAACATCATGTAATGATAAGATCTAATATATTTTCTTAGCGGTAATCTCAATCCAAAATAGAACCATGACATGACTAGACAGATTAGTACTACAGTGGAACCATGACATGACTAGACGGATTAGTACTACTATGGAACCATGACATGACTAGACAGATTTGTCCTACTGTGGAACCATGACATGACTAGACGAATTAGTACTGCTGTGGAACCATGACATGACTAAACAGATTAGTACTACTGTGGAACCATGACATGACTAGACAGATTAGTACTACTGTGGAACCATGACATGACTAGACGGACTAGTACTACTGTGGAACCATGACATGACTAGACGGATTAGTACTACTGTGGAACCATGACATGACTAGACGGACTAGTACTACTGTGGAACCATGACATGACTAGACAGATTAGTGCTACTGTGGAACCATGACATGACTAGACAGATTAGTACTACTGTAGAACCATGACATGACTAGACAGATTAGTACTACTGTGGAACCATGCCATGACTAGACAGATTAGTACTACTGTCG